AAATAATATTTCAATACAATTAGATTACCACCACACTCCCGGATGTCCCAGCTGCTCCATGGGGATAGCAGTCTGTTCCCACTTTTGTTCACTACCCCCAGCTCTACAGTGTATTCCCCTCTCACATTCTTCTCGGCAAGGTTGCCTTCAAGAACTGTCTGGATCCCATGGCTCAGTTCTGAGTCCTCCACACAGGGAGCCCCTCCACTGCCTTCTTGGGTCTCCACAGTGGAGACCTTTCTTTCCCAGCCGTAAGAGAGTCCATTGGTGACCCCAGAAGCCTGCCCCTCTGTTCCTCTTCCTCGGAGGTTTAGATTTGTACATTTTGAGCCTTTAATTCTCACAGTGACCCAAAAGCCAGTGCTTCTGTTACATTTGTTCTGGACGTAGGAGAAGCTGAGGCTCGGAGAGGTTTAGCATTTCTGCAAAGGTCGCACACCCAGTTGCCAGAGGAGCAGTGTGTGATTCCAAAGCTGTTGCTGTACACACACCTTCCTCCAGCTCCATCTTAACGCCTCTCCTGTGGTACATTGCTCTCTATCACCTCTTCTCTTTCAACTGCTTCCTTTTTCTCTTTTCCAAGGGAGCCCTAATACATCACTCCTTCACTCACGTGTATGTTCTTTAGGCAAAAAGTATTCATTAAACTTCTTACTTTAAAAATACTGCGAATGGTATGTTCTCTACGGAAAACAAAACAAAAACAAAAGCTCATGTTAATAGACTCCTAACACCAGCACCCATTCCAATAAACAGAGTTCACATGTTAGTGAAAGCATATAAACTTCATATTCTAAATATGTATCATGTTTGACATAATAAACCTAGTTAATAATATGCCTAAGATTTACTAAGAGGTGATAGACCTTGTGTTCTCAACACATACGCTTATGTCGAGGTAAATTTGAGTCACTGGATGTGTTAAGTACCTGTGTGTTAAGTTACTCTTCTTGTGCCTGTCCCCGACTAAAGCAATGTAAGGGGAGAAGGTCTTGTTCTGGCTCACAGTGTGAGGTGACAGCAGTCTATGACAGCAGGGATGTCATCGTGGCAGGAGCATGAGGCCGCAGGTCACACTGTATCCACAGTCAGGAAGCAGAGGGGTGGATGCTGATACTCAGCTCACCTTTTTTATCAGTCCAAGCCCCTAGCACACAGGATGGATGGCATTACACGTTCTCAGGCGGGTCTTCCCACCTTGATTAAACCATTTTAGAAGCTCCCACACAAGCACATCCAACTGCTTGTCTCCTGAGTAACTCTAGATCTCATCAATTTGACAGTATGATCCATCACAGGTTGGTTATAATAATCATTGCCCAATGATACTATATCGAAATGTCTCATCGAACACCTTATATGCCTACAATTTTTATTTCTCAACTATACTTCAATCAAGCTGACAAGCAGTGCTCTGTGAAGTTACCGATTTGGAGGGAAGGGCAGGACAGGCGGTCAGCCATTAGTGGGTACTGCATCAATCTCAAGTCCAAAGCACTTCGGTAGAGGTTTCCTGAACTACTTCAGTCTTGTGACCCTTCCGGGACCTCACACATGAATACCTGTTGATTTCACCAGGGACCAACTTCTGCGGGTGGATTGTTTTGTGGGTTACTTGATTCCACTTGGATTATCTGTGTCCTAGGCATTCAAGGCACCCTGATTCCTGTACACGATATCTTTATAAATTGTAGAGTATGGAAGTATTTCTGTTTAAACATCTCAGCCCTATGAGAAGTATTGGGGAATTTCTGATTCCAGTTTCTTCTTTCCCTCATGGTTTCCCCTTACATAATATTTTTATTAATTATTTGGGAATTTCATAGAATGCATCCTGATCATGAGCAAAGATTTTCTAATATACACAAAATGAAAATGATTATACAGAAAATATCCACTACCTATAATCTACATCCAAGAGTTTTGACTATTTGTTATTATATTTCTACCTATTAACCTCTTTATTAACATCAGTCTTATTTTTATGCATTTTAAAGCAAATTGCAGCCATCAGTGCATTTGATTTGTAAATAATTCCATTCACAGGAGTTCAGTGTTTTATGTGTTTAGGAAGGAAATGCCCACAGTGAAATGCATACCTCTGACATGTATGACTCTGAGAGTCTGAGTAAGATGTGTGTGTGTGTGTGTGTGTGTGTGTGTGTGTGTGTGTGTGTGTGTGTGTAATTCAACACCTGTCAAGCCAGAACAAGGCTGTGAGTACAGGTCTCTCACGCTCCTTCTCAGTTCATCCCCATCTAATTGAAGGCACCCATTTCTTCCTTCTATTTTACAGCATTCATGGAGTGCTGCTCTACACAGAGAAGATGACTTCAGGTTCACTTACACAGGGCAGTTGGAATGGGGGACAAGTTAACTGTTTAGAGCCCAGCTTCTTACACTGTGGGTCACAGCCCTGTCTGGGGGTGTCTTGACAAATCTGACAACAGGGCAAAGCTTCTGAGTATGCAGCAGCCAAGAATCAATACAAAGCCGAAGTGTAACAAGTCGTGAGTGCTGCTGGCAGAGGGGCCTCGTGTGGTCTCCCGCGACTCCACGACGGCCCTTGTCCTGAACCCACAACGGCCCTTGTCCTGAACCCAACTCAGGCATTTTGCACTGTGGATGCCTTCAAACCACACAACACTGGCAGAGTCTGCCCACACGCCCTGGCTCAGGTTCCGTGTTATTGTATGTTATACATTGTAGCGTTTTTAACTGAAATATGCAAGAGGTTTTTTGTTTGTTCAGAGGCATAATGGTTCAGTTACGGGGAGCCGGGGCATTCAGTGTTCCTCTACTGTTACTCCTGAGAATCAAATTAGAACACCATGGGACTGGAAGGTGTTGAAGTTCTGATTTTAAGAATTGTGGGCTTGAGTCACATTAAAGTATCTCTCGGTGTAGTCTGACTTGGGATTACTAAGAATTTTCCAGCAGTTTCAGAAATGGCCCTCACCATACTCTGCCATTTTGTAGTGCATACTTATGTGGGCTACCACTCTCAGCATGGACAACTATTGAGTCAGAGTATCAGTCCGTGTTGAAGATATTCTATATCTGTGCCACACCACACATTCGGCCGAGATTGAATTCTTTATGGAAAAGTAGATATGCACTTCACCTCTTTGGTGTACAGATTGGCTTTCTTCTTTTTTCTATTTCCCCAAAGGAGTGCTATAAAATATTCTTTATTATTCGTTATCACCCAGTGTTTAATTGGGTGGGTGGCTGTCTGTCTGTCTGACACAGGATCTCATGTAGTCCAGGCTGGTCTCCAACTCACTGTGTATCTGAGGCTGGTTTTGAACATCTGATTCTCCTACTTCTACCTCCCACATACTGGAACTAATTCTAGCCATGTATCACTATGCCCAACTAAACGTTTGATCTGTATACCTATGTCATACACCTATATACAAGAGTGGCTCTAAAATATGTCTCAGATAAAAAGGAGCGGGGTCATGAGTATAAAACTCTTGGCTCTTAGAGCTCATGACAGGTGACTATGAGATGCACAACTTGCCTTTCAGAAATGTTAACTCCCTTTGTCCTTTCCACGTTCTCTATCACTGGCTGATGCTTGACAGAGCTCTCTGTGATTACTTGAGCTCTTTGAACTAGCTGGTTAATTTAAGACTATCACTTTTTGCTTCTCCTGTCTGGCCTCCCCAGCTTCTGTTTCTCAGTTGAAGTTCCACTTGGCTTTGGCCTGGGCTTGTGATTGGCCACTGAGTGCGGACAGCATGGGTGCAGAGACGGCTCACAACAGGTTGAGCCTAGAGACTTTTCTGCACCCATCCCCCAGAGGTCTCTCGGCCCAGCGTGGCATTGCCCATTGGACACGGGGCGCAGCTGGAATGATAGGGACACCTGTCGAAGCTGTGACGCACAATGCTCGATTCAAGTCTCCTGTGAGTCACACGGCACGTGCTCCTGACTGAGCTGCCTTTGTGTCCCTGTCACAGGATGCCACCATGCCATGCATGACCCTTCCCGGCATGAGCTGGTACATTCCACTGCAGTCAGTGAGTTTTTGTTGCGTTTTCAATGTTCGGAACCTGCCAAAGAAAAGTTGACGACGACGACGACGAAGAAAAAGATCTGTGATGAAGGCCTCTCGGTCCTGTGAAGGGAGCTGAGCTGACTAACAGGCTGTAAACACAGAAGCAGGCCACAGAGATGTCTTTGAACAAAAGTGTGGCATCCCTGTGGTAAGCAACCTGTCTATGAATACGGAGAAACTCTGAAGGAAAAGCATTCTGTGAAGCAAGGTGTCCCCAGAGTTCAGGGACCGCCTCAGAATCACATTGCCTGTTAACAGTGCCACCTGGGCTCGGAAGCCTGCTCTTTCACGCCTCACCTGTGGCTGATGGGTAAACACAGGTTCTAGATCCTTACTGAATGTTCTAGGGCATAAGCCAAGAACAACATCACAATGGCAGAAATCCGGGCTGAGCTTTCCTGGCATTCACCACATATAACTGTGAGGCTTCTTACAGAAGGCAGATAGATGCCCAGTCACTGAGCTGTTGAAATCGGAGCATCTGCTGAGATTAACCATTTTCACTCTGGGAAACTAATCAAGAAGGATGGAAAACGTGTGAACTGGCAATCCCTAGGTTTGAAAGGGGCAAGTGGGAATGAAGAAAAGAAAGAGTGAGTGAACCATATGACCTGGTGTCTGGAGGAACCAGTGAGGCAGGGAGGCAGAAGAACCATTGTTTGAGCTGAGGATGCAAATGGGACACTCAGTGAGGCCATGCTCAGAGCATTGGAATGAAGGTCCCCGGAGCAGTTTGAGATGAGCATTTGGAGTCTTCATATGAGAGAGAAGAGATTGTTCATTCACTGGGACAGGTGGCACTCTTCGGGGAGAGGACAGGACTAGAGACCTAGTGTCCCTCTAGAGGCAAGACCTCTCTTACCTGAGTTCCGCCTTCTTCATGTGCTACAGACCCAGCAGCAAGAACACCTGGGTCCTTCGGTCCCCCTAAATCTCTGCGTATGGCAGTGCCAGGCACAAGCACAAGCCCCCTTAATGAGTGAGGAGGATGGAGTTTGTAGCAGCTGCAGTTGGAGTTCGGCCTCTGAGACTGGCAGCAACCTGGCTCCAGGGGTGACGTTCCACTGTGCCCACTCCTGCTGGGGTTTGATGTTGAGCGAACCGGGCTAGGGAAACCTGGCATGTGGGTTTCTAAGTGCACGCTGAATGCACGCTGAATGCAGGCTGAATGCACGCTGAATGCAGGCTCTCCCTCAAGCCTTCTGAGGACCCTGACTGCCTGAGGTACCTCACAGCAGGAAGGCAATGGTAGCGAGGAGCTGGGGAGGAAGACACTCTCCTCTGAGGATGCTTCCCACCCCACCCCAGGATGGATCCCTGCATGCCCCCAGGCTGCAGCAAGCCATCCGCATGGCAAGGGGGAGGCCTGTCTTTGTCTCTCCACGTGGGCTCAAGCTGTTTGCCCTGCCCAGGGGCACTGGAGACTTTCACACCTCTTTCCTCTGTGGCTGGGTACCTTCCACATGTGGGACACAAGGGAGGCCTAAACCATTTCCTCCTTTTACGACGCTGATGGGTTTCATATGCCCACTCTGCGTGGGTCTGCGCTGCTGCCGGAGGAGCTGGCACACCCGTAGCCCATCTGCATGAGCTTAGAGAGAGCAGAGACCTGGAAGCCACACCACGGAGCTCTGCCTCTCCGCTCCCTGGCAGGAAATGCCCTCTAGTGCAAGCTCTCATCCAGTGGAGCGGTTAACTGGGAAGCAGGCAGCCACTTAAAGAGCCACCATACCCCTGGGCAGATGGTGTAAGCCCCTTAAGCCTCACTTTCCTTGACGGCAGTGGAGCCGACACCAGCATGTGTTATGAGGATGGATTGGGGTGATCACGGTAAGGGCTTCAGGCATCACGCTCTACACTCATTAGCCATTAGTCCCTCCATAGAGAATCCCAACATTTGCCATTGCATTCTTCATGCATATCTACTAATATATATATATATATATATATATATATATATATATATATATATATATATATATATATATATATATATATATATATATATATATATATATATATATATATATTCCTACACCCCACAAAACCCTCCACTGCACACCCAGAGAGGAAGCTGGACAAGGAAGGGGGCCACCGGGCCCCTGTGCTCATTTACCTGAGACCAACCTGTACAGTTTCCAGTAGCACACCCCCGCCCCCCGCCCCACACTGCTTCCCGCCAGCTGTCTGGGGCATGTCGAGTCCTCCCACCACCCAGGCAGCCCCATCCTGAGTTGATTTAGGGAAGGTCTTTCATGTGGCCCCCCTGGATCTCGCAACCCTTCATGGAGTGGATTTCTTCATCTCGGTGGCCGGTGGCCGGGCCCTTTTAACTCTGAGTCTGATTTGTTCCCCGCACTTCCCGGCTGAGCCCCGAGATGGGGAGGGGAGGCGCTACTGATGGCAGCGGCCGATGCTGTGAAGGGGTCAGCTAGGACATGCTCACGAGGACAGCTGGCCCTGGGACAGCAGGGCAAACGGGGCACAGAGTGGAGCACCCACCTGGTGCCTAGCTGTGCAAATGTAGGTGTGGCCCACACACCATTTTTACTTATAGTTATTTGCTTGCTTGCTTGCTTGCTTGCTATTAGAGGGGCTCAGAGCCCTGATAATTTGGAAGAACATATATCTGTCGCAAAAAGATGGATTACCTGGTTTGCTTATTTTCTTTAATAGATGCAGTGTGTTTTGGGGATTTGAATGACATTGAAATCATAAAAGTGGTGATAGGAACCCTGCATTTCCCTGGCGGCTCACAATGTGATATTGGACAAGGTTGCTCTCTTATCCGAACTTCTACTTATAGACCTGGAAATGACAATGTGTATTTTTCAGGTTAAATGCACCAGGGGAATTAGGACGGCGTATGTAAGCCACTGTGCATGGCACACAGTAGGCCACCCACCTAAATCAGTGAGAAGTACTGAGAGGCGGGCTGTAGAGGACATCTGGCAGAAGGGCCCCTGTCCTGCAGCTCTTTGCAACCACATCAGCAAGTTTATTCCAGAAAGTCCTAGACAGTAGTTTTGATTTTGGAAACCGTCCGGTCTCTAGCAACTGTTCCACTCTGATCTCACAACCCAAAAGCAGTTATGTGTGATAGGTAATGAATGGCCATGACTATGTGCCAACAAAACTTTATTTGTAAACACAGATAGAGGGGCCCAGTGTGACTCGTGGTCCATAATCTGCTGACCCTTTTCTGGGAATAAAAGTTTGATATGCAAGATGAGGACTGTAGCTCAGTTGATAGGGTGCTTGTCTAGCATGAACAAAGTCCCTGGGTTCAATGCCCAGCACCACGTCAATCTGGGGGCATGACTGTGATCCTAGTACTTGTAAAGAAAAGGCAAGAAGATCAGATGTTCGAGGTCATCCTTAGATACAAAGAGTTTGAGGCCAGCATTGGCTAGGAGAGACCCTGTCTAAAAACAAAAGCTTGAGATGCTCTAACTGGGAATATCTAGGAAGGAAACTGTATTCATCCTTTGGTATTTTAGCTTTGGGTATCTTTTGTGAACATTTTGCTTCCTGAAAATCTAAGGGCTCAAGTCTCCTATCCAGAGACCTACCAGGTTACAGCCACAGCTTCACTGCAGGGAGAACACAGGGCCATTTCCCAGTGGTCTATGAGCCTCTGGACATTTCTTCTTCCTCAGAGTCTAAAACACAAACAATGATACCTGGTGTGTCCCCATTTTTAAAAAAGAATAACCATAATGATGAAAGGACTCAAACTAAGGTTGAGTTAGCACAGATGAGTGGTTCTCAACCAGGAGTGGCATTGCCCCGGGGGCCATCGGGCAATGGTTTTGTCTCTCAAATTACTGAGCAATATGGACTGAATTCCTTAGTGGTTAGAAAGGCTGTCACCAAAGTCACCTGTATACATGGACATGAGAGGAAAGCCAAAGTAACCTATGAAAACCATCAGGTGAGTCCATTTGACTTAGAGAGAGCATAGTTGTTGTCAAACAGCCTGCACTGCACAGGACAGCTCCCCTCTCCCTGCACTGCACAGGACAGGACGGCTCCTCTCTCTCTCTCTCTCTCTCTCTCTCTCTCTCTCTCTCTCTCTCTCTCTCCCTCTCTCTCTCCATGCACTGCACAGAACAGCTCCTCTCTCCCTGCACTGCACAGGACGGCTCCTCTCTCTCCATGCACTGCACAGGCAGCTCCTGTCTCCCTGCACTGCACAGGACAGCTCCTCTCTACCTGCACTGCACAGGACAGCTCCTCTTACTACACTGCACAGGACAACTCCCCTCTCTCCATGCACACTGCACAGGGCAGCTCCTCTCTGGACCCGGTGATGGATTCTGCTGATGTTAAGAAAACCTGGATTCATACATATGAAGGCTTTGACAGCTGGTAGAGTTTAGCTGCAGTTTAGCTGATAGTGCAGCGTTCTCTGTGGCCATACAGGAAGGTCGGAAGGATGAAAGGAGAAAATACTTGCAAAGCCAGCCTGCCTTGGTCACTGTGTGTTGGGCAAGAGCTGAGTCCTCCCTGCCAGCCAGCTCATCCTAGAGGGCCATGGCAAACTCCAGAGCATTCTTCAGCTCATCCCACCCATACCCTCTTCACTTCAAGCCTCGTTTCCCATGGCTGTCTCCTCGACAGGCTCAGGAGTGGCTTTGGACACCTTTCAAATGCGGGGGAGCTGGGAAGCCACACCTTGGTCTGCTTTTCTAGCTGCCAAATTATTAAATTCCTTTAGCTTTTTCCCTAGGCCCTGTTTTTGAAGGCTTTAATTATTTGGGATTTCGTGGCGACTCCCCTGTGGGTTTTCTCCTCACTTGCTGTGTCCCTCCCATAAAAGAGCTCACAGTTTACCTTTCACTTGGGTGGACTCAGCCAGTGGTTTCTGTGACACAGTGGCTTTCTTCTCACATCTATGCATGCAGGTGGCTTTGGTGACAGCCGGTCTGACCACTGGGGGAGTCCGGCCGACTTAATACAGCAATTGGAGTGCAGAGTAAAATCCGAAGTGGTGGTGTTCAGGGGTCTTTGCTCTAGCAGACCTAGTCAGGTCCCCAGCTGGTGTTACCCACCCAGGGACACAGTGCAGGACATAGATGACAGTTTTTCTTCTTTGGTCATCATGGTTTGATTTGTGTCCATCCCCTCCAAAATGATTCCTTGAGCTGAGGAGGGGACTTAGTCAGTGGAAAACGTGCCGTGCAAATATGAGGAGCTGGTTCAGTCCCCAGCACCGCATAAACAAACGCAGTCACAGTAGTGTGCACTTGCAATCCCAGCAGTGTCAAAGCAGAGACTGTCCCTGGGGCATGCTAGCTAGCCAAACTACCTACCATGGAAGTTCAAGGCCAATGTGAAAACCTGTTGTCAGTTCTCTTCATGATACACCCAGAAGGGAATAGCTGGGTCATGTGGCAATTTTAGCTTTCTGAGGAATCACTGAACTGTTTCCCCATGGCTGTAGCAGTCTGTTCCCAGTAGCGATGTGTACACACACTACCTCTTCTGCTCTGGGAACTCCACGAGGTTGGCAGATTTTATTAAAAGGGTTCCTGAGAGTCATGGCTGCTGTAAAGCCGTGTGCATGCCTCCCTTCATCAACTGTGAGAATTCAGTTCCATATCAGTGGGTACAATTCCTGAGTCTTCAGCTTCCTCCTTTGGAGAAAATAAAGTTTTTCCAGATGTTTATCCAGATGTTGGCAGCAAATTATGAGAAAAATCCCAACTCAAGACACCAGGTACTTAATGTGACATTAACACAGATGTATTTTTATATACACACATGGACATATACTTTACTTTGATGCTTTATTGACATTAGTGTGTATGTGTAAGATATATATATATATATATATATATATATATATATATATATATATATATAAAATATATAAATACGTGCACATGTTCATCAGTTTCCCCAGGGAAACACGAACATACAACATCTCCTCATCCTGGATGGGGAACTGACAATAGAAATGGTTCCATCAAAGTCCAAAGTGATGAACCAATTTGTTTATTGGGTTACTTACAGGAATACGGCTGATCGGTAGTGACTGAAAGACAGCCACATCTTTCAAAAGCCCGTTCCAGCATGGTGAGGACTCATAAAGCCACATCCCCAGCATTCCCAGCACTACGTGCAGGCAGCTGGACATATCATAGTCACTTCTTAACTTCTTAGGGAGTCTCCATCTAGAATGAATGTTTTGCTCCCACTCTATCTATCCACTATCTATCTATTATCTATGTATGTATCTATCTAACTAATCTATCTACTTCTCTATCTAATCTACCATTATTATAGAACATTTGAAGCACACACACATATGTTTATATTGCACACTCAGCACTTGAATAATACATATCCTGTGATAAATCTTCATAATATAGTTGTTAAATGGTTAATTAATCTTATTCCTCTTTTCAGATCCCATCTATGGTAGTTAGCCATCCCAGGGCTACCAGCCCTGTAGCATCCTTCTTTACCAATGTGGTATCTCCAGAAGAAATAAAATAACTAGCAGATGGAACGCAACTCTGGCAATTCTAGGAGTGCATTCTCACATTCTCTGTGGGAAACGTGCTTTCATCCTGTGTGTCAGGAGTCTACTTCAAATACGGTGCAACAGGTTTGACTCACTTTGACTAACTATCCCCTAATTCTTCAACCTACAAACATGTATCTTTGATGTACTCTAAGCACAGTGTCCTTTACATATTTATGTCATTTTCATCTTCAGGACTTGGACCCTTTGTCAAGAAGTAGCCAATGTCAAGATTAAATAATGAACCTGTTTTGTAGTTAATGAAATTCTTTCCTAGATCAATAAGGTTAAGAAATGA